CAAAAATCAAGTCATTCGGATAAAAATTAGCCGAAATATACGAGCGCCCAGCTACGAAAACGTGGTTTCGAGAAAAACGCGTTTAAAGTTTTATGCGGCCGGACATATATATCTGAACACGTGCTATTTTATTATATAGTTACTATAGTTCCATTGTGAATTTCAACATAATATTTTAGGGACATATTTTTAAGACCTCAAACATTACAAAAATGCAAAAAAAAATCGATTTTTTGAACTCGTCATAGTTGTGTTCCCCTTTAAGGATTATTTTTTTTCCATACTAACTAAGCAGTATTGCTAATACCATAGATGTAGAATACTATGTCTATGACTAATACACATCCCAAATAGCAGTACAGAGAGTTAAAAGAAACTTGTCAGTCATATATCATTAATTCTGAACTCATTTTTAGATGCAAAAAGAATTCTTTTTCTAAAAATTCTGAAGAAAATTCTTTTTGTATCTGAAAATAAACTCACAATTGACATACGACTGAATATACGAAAGAAAATTCCTTTTGAACTTGTGTACTATCTAGGATACTTTTGGAACAGCATTCATATATAAGTTCAAAAACATACTTGAAACAGGTTGAGACCCGTGCAAACTATTCCACATACTATTAAACCTAACATCATTATTTCGAATGTGGACTGGATATACTTGGTTAATCTTCAAAAGCAAAAAATATTAGTTAATATATGAAATAATTATTGTCGCGTTATAATACAAACTTCATAGCTTGGCGATGTATATCTACGGCACGAATTATGCCTTTGGTCATCAAAATCTTCTTTATCGTAACATTTTGTAAAATGTTGATGTTTATTGCTTGCTCGATACGATAACTGTAAATGTTTGTGTCGCAATTATACAGTAACTCATCGATAATTTTTCAATTAAAATTATATCTTTATTTTTTAAATGGCAAAATGATTATTATTTCCTTATGTAGATTATTTCTATATTCATACCTGGCAATTCCAAACATTCCACAGATATGATGAATAAACATAATAAGCATTGTACCTATTGCTAACAGAACAGTCATCCCGATGCAAAAGACTACGTTACTATGTAAAAAAATTAAAAGAAAATACTTTTCTTGATCGATAAAATATTCCGTCATTGAAAGGAAACGATATGAATGAGATACATTCATCGTTAAATTAACATCAATCATGTTTGGCCAAAGTTGAATTAGAATTAAAGCAAATATTACCCAAACACAGGTTACTAAAAAAACATTACAAGGAAATTATTATTTAAATTACTAATGTGTATGTTTTTTGCACTATACAGGTGTATATTATTTTTGAGTGCAATTAGAATCGTATCTTAAAAAACAACTGATAACTATCCCTTTATTTTATTTATAAACACATGTATTATTTATCACAAAATGTGTAAATACTTCAATATACTTATCAGACAAATTATATGTTTAATATGTATGTATAAATATATTATCTAGCCAAAACACTAATTGTCTCCATTTAATGACATGTTAAATTAGGAATGTGGCCTCACATGCTAACAATAAAAATATCTTACTTATAAGTGCCGTCGTATAACATTTCGCACTGTAGTCATATTTTTTTATAATAGTGATTTCATTTTTGTCCTTTAATTCATTTTGTATATGTTGAAGCTGCACTAGTAAATTCTTCACCTATCATTCCAACTTTTTATATTGTTTATATATATACATCAAAATTATGTTTTAAGTTAAATTATTATAAGAAAAAATTGTATCCTGTTTGAGAAATACTCCATAAATTATCAACTCACATCTTTAATATAAAAATAGTATATGTTATACTTTATTATAAAAAAAGTGTGAAAAGATATGGAAGACAGAATCTTTATGAAGTGGTCCGTAGTACATTTAAATGTTATGAATGTTGTTAGCTGCAAGTCGATCATTTTATTTAATATTATTTACAAGTATACTTAATAATTTCAATATGTTTAATACAAAATCATTGTAATAATAGAATGAGATAAATAATATGATAATTTTCGATATAGTAAATAATAAAGATGTTATTATTCTTATTATCGTAATAATTTCTTACCTGAAATATAATATTTGTTGCTAATAAAATAGAGATGAAAATGTACTGAAGTCTAGTTAAGATAGATTGTTGATAAGGCCATAAACCGACAGCGAGCATTAGAACTCTAGTAATATTAATACTATTAGTGACATTAAAATATTGATCATTTAAACGGATCATGTCTTTATGGTATGAGGTATACAACATGACTGATCGTAAAGAAGCCAACAATGGTATGTTTACTCCTCTCTTTTTTTTATCGATCGATTAGATATTCTCTCTTATAGTGTAAATTATAGTGCAAATGCCAATACCGTAATTTAGATAATAGAGTTATGGATTATATAATGGAATTATATTATTATCAGAAATTTACTTATATCCTAAAAGTGTTTCTTTGAATATTTATAATAAAAACACCGATTTGACTTTTGAAAAAATTCGTTGTATATTTTTCTTCCATAAAAGAAAATAAAATTTTTATGAGAGAAGGTCGAAAGTCACGCAAGTGCATTTCTTCTTTTTCGACACTACTGTTTTATTTTCGTGCACGCATTCATAAAAAGTGTGTTTGATGTGAAAAGAATATTCTTCAGTTTGAATTGCTTTAGCCAGCCTTATTGAATAAAGCTTGTATGGTATTATCTTATTTTAGAATAAGCTAATTAGATCTGTAATGTTCTTAATATTTTTTTGTTACAAGTTAATTGATATGTTATTTATTTACCATTATCCATAGATGATGATATTATCTATCGATTGGTACATCAGCTGTCAAATAGTCACTTCTTATTACGTCATCGTTTGCTTCGTACTTTAATTTCTTAGTATGTACCATATATTACATAATATGGAAAATTTGAAACATTATTCCTTATAGAAGTATAATAAATAAAACAGTAACTATTAATGATTTATTGTAATAATGGTCAATTCATTTAAATATGACATACACGAGATAAAGGTAAAATTTATGAAAAGCTGAAACAAAAGTAAAAGCATTATAAATATTTCTATTGTATTTTCCTATATATATTTAACGCACATCATGTATATAGGCTAATCTCAATTGGCAATTAAAAAGATTTGTTGGATTAATATCTTATTAAATAATTTTATTCGTCTATGTTTTTCTTAAAACTAAAAATTTCTAGATTAATTACATAGTTAAGAAATAAAACTTCTATTTTCCACAAGAATTTTGCTTATTCTTCTATAAGTAAATTTTCTTACATTTATATTTAATTTATATATTTGTCACATTATAAATAATATGTTAGTAAAATAAAATATTGATGCCTTAAAGATGCAGAAAACCTTGGCGATGAAATCAGAAGCACATTTTAAACTTATTTATAATGTCAGCTGCAAATAATAATTTTATTTTGAATTTAACTTGAAGAAAAAAAAATTTTATTTTATTTTATTTATAAGAATAATAATTCAAATTATTACAATATACTTATAATACACTTAACGTTATATATATTATATGCATTAAGATCAATCAATTGAAAATACAATGCCATTGTACATGTTCCTTTACCTCAAATATAATATGCGCTGCCAAAATACTAGAAAGGAAAATAAATTACTGAACTGTTGATAGAGCTAATAGCCTATAAGGTATATAGGCTTTAAATATTATTGCTAAAAGGATCATCTTCCTATGTGCTTTTTCTTCACAGAACGTAAACTGCGATATTAATACTCTAATTTTCTTCTGTCCCTACTAGTCGATGAAATATTTTGCGTTTTCTTTCTTTCTTTCTGCGTATATTTTAACGTAAATTTCCTAAGTGACCATAATACATAGTTGTGCACATCCACCATAAGATCGAAACACACTCGATTCAATAAATTTCTTAGTGGGGTGCGTATAGTACCATTCTTTATAACATAATTTATGCAATCAGTTTGCCGCCAAAAGTAATTCGACGAATGACACGAAAGCATCTTTCCCATGACTGAGTTTTTTCAGAAAAGCTGCACAATTTCCCTCTTTTCATCGCCGAAATTTTATTATATTTTAATGCACGCATATATATATATACACTTGGTTGAGGATAATAATATTTTTCAACTTTAACTTCTGATTTTTGGTCTGCACATAATAAAGTGTATTATAAAAATGATCGAAATAGATAAATGCGCGACACTCGTAAATTTTATATATATTAGTAATATAGCATGACAAATGTTTTTAACATTGAAGTATCAGCTGTTTAGTTGTCACTAATAATATCTCACTAAGCATAATACTATTATTCTTTTTTATTTTTCGTCATATGTATATCTCTTTGTTATCGAAAACTCTAAACTTAAATATTGATATAAATATTATGAATTTATTTATATAAGAATAATATTTAATGTATTAGTAACAATTGTGCATGGGAAAAATCTTATTTAAAGACAATGTAAAACGTTTAAATGTCGTGTATATTTGAACAGACGTCACAAAGATAATTACGATTTAAATACATTGCAGAAACTTGAAATATCTATTAATATCTTGATTTGTCTAAAACTTTAATGTTCTATTATAGCAATAAAATGTATAGCTACCTTACACATTCGAAAAAATAAATTGTTCTATTATCTAAACTATCTATTTCTTTCAATATATTTTCAATATGTTTAATAAATTCATATTTGTGGCATTACATTGTAGAATGTATAACAGTATAATAAGTTATCGAGGCCTTCACTAGCTGCAATTATAAAAACATGCTTATTATTGTAATTTGATGCTATTAAAATATTATATATTCCTTACAGTAGCAAACATGTCCATAGATGAATGAATTAGTCCACCGACATTTAAAGTGAAATCCTTTGCTCTTCTTTGCAACAGGAATAGTATCATTTTCTGTACGTGTAAAGGAGTTCTGTACCACTGAACGTTGTATCTACGGCATTGAACATAACGAACCGTTAACTTTAGATATAGAAATCTTTTTATTACAGTCTGTCACATAAGAGCGTAACAGACTAGATTGCTTTAAAGAAAAATATCGCTAGGAAACTCTACTAATATTCGTTGGAGGAGAGGGGAGACTACTACTATAATACGTTTTGTGCTAGACTCTAGAGATATACCAGTGTTACTTTCCATTGTGATAAAAACACGTGATTTCCAAAATTTTTCTCAAACTAGAAAAGCGAAAAAGCAGCGCTTACAGTCTATTACACAAGAGCATAGTCTGTATATCTGAAAGAAAAATTATTATTTTTAAGAAATCTACTTATTGATTTAAAGTGCACTAAAAAGCAATATTACGCATTTACTTGTTAATAAATCATGCAGTCTTTATTATTGTCAAGAACCGCAACAAAATACGGAAAATCGATTATAGAAATTATATCAAAACGGCATACTTTCGTACCAGCGAATTCTCGGCAATAATAAAGCCTGGACGTCTTACAAAGTAAATGAGTAATAGTGCTTTTAGTGCACTTTAAATCAATTTCTAGATTTCTTAAAAATCATTTTTCTTTCAAATATGCAGACAATGCTCTTGTTTGACAGACTGTAGATAACTTTAGCACCTGTACTAATTTATTCTACTACAAATCAGTTTCTATATCTATTGTTATAACCGTTGTAGAGAAAATGTTTTCCATTATAGGAATGTTTCTTACACAGTAGCATATACGTAATTGTTATAGTCAAGTGCTGTCTGTCCAATAAGACTGGAGAAAAACATGTACATGACAATTGCAAGTGTAACTAATGATGGCACTATAATATCCCTAACATCATTTTGAAATGATGCTATCTGAAAAGATTAAGAAAGTTTTATAAAAATTATTAATCTCTTGCGTATATGTTTTATAATTAATCTACGATATAATATAACATAATAATACAATATACAATAAATTTTTCTTTAATCTTAAAATTAAGATTACAAGTAATTTCTAATACGTTCTATAAATAATATATTATGTATAGAATGTTTTCCATTTAGCGACTAAAGTTAACGCAAGCATTATTTTGTCTTTTTTCAACATCTAGTAACAATAAAGATAGAATGACGCTTGTGTCAACTTGTGTCGCTAAATATACACACATATATAGT